GAGCTCGAACCTGTGTCCCCTGCATTGGCAGGCGGATTCTTAACCACTGCACCACCAGGGAAGACCTGTATTATACACTTTAAAAGGGTGATTTTTAAAAAATATTTATTTATTTATTTATTTAATTTATTTTTGGCTACGTTGGGTCTTAGTTGCCTTAAGTGGGATCTTTGTTGCAGCATAGGGGCTCTTCGTTGTGGTGCGCGGGCTTCTCTCTAGTTGTGGCGTGCGGGCTCTAGAGCACGTGGGCTCTGTGGTTGTGGTGCATGGGCTCAGTAGTTGCGGCGAGTGGGCTTAGTTGCCCCGCAGCACGTAGCATCTTAGTTCCCCGACCAGGGATCGAACCCATGTCTCCTGCATTGGAAGGTGGATTCTTAACCACTGGACCACCAGGGAAGTCCCCAAAGGGTGAATTTTATGGAATGTGAATTATATTCCAACTTAAAAAAAAAAATCCCTTCAAGTATTCTCATCTCTCATTCTAGGAGTGATGGAATTTAATTAAGAGGCTAGATGATATCAACACATAAAAAGACTGTAGCAAAACAAAATAATTGTTAAAATGAACATATATAATAAAATGATTATAAGTAGTCAAGAATAAACTACAAGTCTAATTAAGGGGAAAAAAGGATGACATTTTCCTTGCAGTTTTCCAAATCAATATCTGTTTTTCTGCATTCTTTTATTCTCTCTTTAAATTGAGGGGTGGGAGGCGCAGTAGAGAAAGATGGAGTATACTGCCATCTGGTCCTTTTCACTCAACAACTTTAATTAATCTTTGAGGCTGCCACCTCCATTTACTAAATCACAGGAACTTACCATACATAATTAGTAGCAAATCTAATTGGAACATAGCTCTTGCTATGACTTTCAGTAATTCTTTTTTTCCAATAGGCACTCATATATGAGCATGAAACAGGAGAAAATGATTTGCAAGTAATTGGACAAAGAGGTAGTGATATTTAACATTCATATTTCAAAGATTCACATTTGAATTTTAAGTACCACAGTCCCAGGAATGTGACACTTGGCAAGTTCTGCAGTCTTAACTCAGTATCTTTGGGGTTGGAGATTCATTGGGAAGGCAATAGCCTGATACCCCTCTATAGAAGGCAGAAGGCAAACTGAGATTGCATCTGTGTGTGCCCATTGAGGGAGGATTAGTGATATTAAGACAGAGGCTGTCAATAGTTTGTTCATCCCCTCAACTACTCCCTAATATCAAATAGGAATACCAGGCTTCATGTTCAATGTTACCATTACTTACCCTGGAATGGATATTTTCATTAGAAAAGCTTCACCTGGAAAAGGTAATTGTTCTTTAAAAGCTAAAATGAGCGGAAAGGAATTACATAGGGGAATGGGAGAGGTTGAAAAAGGAAAGAGGTCTGAAGAAAATGCAGCAGCTGCAGAGGAAGCAATTAAATGTCACAAGTTCACTTAAATGCCATCTCTTTGATCAATGTTAACTTTCCTACAAGAATTGTGACTTGGTTTGATGATGCCACACAGGGAGAACTGGGGAAGCCCTCTATTCCCCTTTGGAAAAGAGAAGCTCATCCATATGTGTCTAGGTACTCAAGTACCACTGTTAGAAAAGACCAATAATAACAGTAGACAAATTTTCCATTTGCATTGTGTTTTACCCACTGCAAAGCATTTTCATACCCATTGTTTTACAAACCACCTCTTTGCCATCCAGCTACCAAACAGAAAGCTTCTCCAATGCATATTTTTCAGGAACATGTCTCTTGTTCCCATGCTCATACCCTAGGTATGTCCCCAAAGCCTGTAAGCCACATACCTGAGTGTACTTGCGGAAAAACACACCTTGCACTTTCCCAAAAACTTCATAATCCACTGATATCAGGGGGTCCCCTTCTGCCATACTCACGCTCAGACCTGTCAGAGACCATGAAAGCAGAAGAGCAAAGGACTCATTATCCTATTCCCGGGCCCCCAATCCTGAGGCAGAAAGGGTCACACACACACCTCTCCATCGTTAACCACTGTGACCTCTCCCTGACCTTAAGATGCCAGTACTTCGGAGTAAGTAAGCGGTCACGTGTAAGCGCGGGTGTGTGAAGTTAACAGGAGGACACCCGGGCAAGGGAGCCCACAGAGGCCTCTTTGGGGCAATTACCTGCTTATCCAGTTACCTCCCTACACCCATCCCCGGTCCCGCTCCCTCTCCATCCCTCCCTCTTCCCACGCAAACCTGGCTTCCGCGCCCCCACCAGAATGCCCTATTAATATTTTAGGGCTAATCGAACTGATGAGCACGCCCCGGGGCCCTGCCCCAGGCTCAATCTCCTCGTCCTCCTCTCCGGTGGACTACCCGGGAGACCAGCAGGCCAACTGTTCCCCCGGTTGCGTAACCGCCGCGCCCGGTAGCTTAGAACGCGGCTCCTCCTTCGCTGTCTCTCAGGCCCATCACCTCCGCCGGCCAATCACGCACGGAGCGCTCGGCCCAGAGCCCGCCCAGAGGGTGGGATTTCGGGACGCCAGTGTCTAGTAGCTCCAGAGCCTCCGATTGGCGGGGGGGCGGGATCTGTCCAGGGTCTCGGCTACGATTCTATACTCCGAGCCCTCACCCCACCTCTGTCACTAAGAGCACGCCTTTTTTCATTTTCTCGCGGGGATAAAGACAAAGACGAAGAAACACTTGAGATAAATCCAATCATTCTGTAAATACTTACTGAGAGCCTCTGTGTGCCAGGCACATTTCTAGGTGGTTGACATACGTGAATGAACAAAAAGGATCCCTGGACCGGAGGAGATTAAATTATGGAGACAGATGATAAACACTAAACATCATAAACAAACAGACAAACAAACAAACACATTAAATAGAAGACATACAACTTTTCTGCCCTTTTTCTCAGCTCCCCTCCAATTCTGAGTCATGCCTAAGTCTGGAATTGGAGACAAGTGTATAGGAGGTCCCAGTGGAGGTCATTTCTCCCTCTGTGATTCTGGAAGCGGCCCACCAGAGTCTACCTTACTAAGAAAACTACAAACAATGCTTATCTAAAGCAATCAATCCATCAATCACAAGCACAAGCAAAATAACCCATAATCACAACTGAATCAGTCAATCTAAGCCAAGTGACCAAGTTACATGAATTTCTTTTGGGAGAAGGGAATTGTCAAGGGGAGTTGTGGGTGATGATTGTTAAAAATAGGGTCACCTTGGGCTTCCCTGGTGGCGCAGTGGTTGAGGGTCCGCCTGCCGATGCAGGGGGCACGGGTTCGT